ACCAGGGTAGGGTTAGGGTTAGAAAAACAAGGTGTCCTGCCATGATTTTGATGGTTGGAATGTGTTTAGAATGGACAGAAAAGATGAGGTGCGCAGAAAAAGCTACTCAAGGAAGGCTTTTTCAAAAACGCCCTCTTTTCAATGGAACTTTCACCCTCTATTAGGGTTAGGGGTGTGTACCAGGGTAGGGTTAGGGTTAGGAAAATGAGGTGTCCTGGCATAATTTTGATAGTTGGAATGTGTTTAGAATGGGCACAAATGTTGAGCTGTGCAGAAAAGCTACTCAAGGAAGGCTTTTTCAAAATCGCCCTCTTTTCAATGGAACTTTCACCCTCTACATAAAGAGTGTTTGCGTGCAAGTACATGATTGCTACAAAAAGAGAATAATTGTAAATATCAACATGTGAGTAAACACTTTGTTGTTTCAGTTCCAACTGAAAACCTTGTTGAAAAGAAGAAATTTGAAGTGAGATACCGTAAATAACATAAATCTTAATTAAGGGATGTTGTGAGATCACTGCTACCGTTGCTCAATTAATGGAGATGAAAAAGTTCCATCTATAATATCAAAGGAAAACACAATTTGCATTTTAATCTCCAGGATAAATATCCCTGAAGATGGGAAGCAAATAAAAAGAACCTTGGCTATACTTCAAAAGTCTAATGCAGAACAATAAATCTGTCTAGAATATTGGAATAATGGTAGAAAGAGTGGTAGTGCATTATACTGAAGATTTTATCTAGCAATCTGTAGCTCGCAATAAGCAAAGTCACCTTTACTAATTACTAGAACCAGAAGATCAATTTACAAACACACAGCAAGTCTTTTCGCTCCCTCCATAATTATCTTTATTATTTTTGTGCATTCACATCAAGCTACATCGCCTAGAGATATAATTCGTTAAGAAAAGAAAAAAACCTATTGAATGAGCATTAGGAAGACTGGAACACAAACATTTGCATAGACTGACCTTTAGTCATTGACTGAGTTTGGGTTGAAAGTGACAGAAGCAAGCTTTGGTATCTTAGGGTACAATATTTTGGTACCTTAGGGTAGAAGAAGCTTCTTTCTAAACTTACATAGGATTATACCTTCAGACAGATAGCAGGACAATTTGTAAAATGTTAGGCTGGGGCAACTGAATGAATACAAATGTATTTGAATGATAGAATGTAATATACTGTTTTAAAATTAAATACAGTGGCACCTTGGCTCACAAACGCCTCAGTTAATGACCAAATTGAGTCGTGAACAAAATTTCATAAAAATTTTGACTCAGGTTGTGAATTCTGTATTGGGGGATGACTGCAATCGCAACCATCTCCCCACCCGCCCCCGAGTGGGGAGATGGCCATGATCATGCTGGGGGTGGGGGGGGGGATGGCCGAGATCACGCCTGTCTTTCCTGCAGGAGCGCAACCCTGATCTCAGCCATCTTCCTTCCCCCAGCACGATTGTGCCCGTCTCCCCCCGAGCGTGCCCATGTTCATGCCTGTCTCTCCCCCCCAGTGCGCCCTTGATCGCACCTGTCTCCCACACCCCCCAGAGCCCCGGGATGACGGGCGCGTGCAGGGATGAGGGGAGTGATCACAGTCGTGCTGGGGGGCGGGGAGATGGCTGCGATCTTTGTTGTTCCTTGTCACTTTGCTTTACATTTTTCTGATTTAAAAAAATAGTTACAGAACGGATTAACCTTATTTACATTGAACCATATGGGGAAATTTAACTTGGCTCATGACCAATCTGAGTCACAAGCAGAGTCAAGTTAAGTTTGTGAGCCAAGGTACCACTGTACCTTGTACCAAGTTTGTGATTAAGTTTGTGAGCCAAACTCAAACTCACAAGTTTGTGAGCCAAGGTACCACTGTACCAAGCTGAACTGGTTATAAACCTGGTAGAGAACAGAATGAAGAAGACTTCAAACCTGAGAAAGAATAGGAGAGAGTACAGAAAGGAACTTTGCCATGGTCTCCACAGTGAACTTTCTGTAGCTTCCCATGGGGTAAAAAGAACCCTGATTATTCGTATTAAAGCCTGTGCACAAGATTACACAACTGGTTAAGGAGCTTTAAATTTTGTGCTCATGTACACTTAGACTCTCCACTACTAAAAGGTCTATAATCATTGAGATCACATGCAGGTTTCTGCGATCAAAAGAAAAAAATGCTGAGTTTTAACACACACAATTGCTTGTGCACAAAACTTCAATCACAGCAAAGAACAAATCCTATGAATGAAAGAAACAGAACAGGAGGAGCAGCAAACTGTGCAAATTAAAGAACCTTGAGCGATTCTAGAAATCCTGCCCAGGTCTGTACACAGTAAGGCCAAGGTAAATCCCCTCCTAATCTGGAAATGATAATTCACAGGAGAGAATTCATAGCACTATGTAGAAATATAAGATAACCAAATGGGGGCGATGGAGATAGCATGATTTCATATATATGAAAATAAAAGCGTTAATGATAGGAAGAGAAGAAAACTGGCACTAAGAAAAAACTGGCACACCCATTTCAGGTGAATGTTATAACACTAACAATGGTTCATCTGGCAAATTGAGCCACCTCTGATGCTTTATGGAAGAGCTAACAATGCAGGCAAGTGAGAAATCGAGCCAAAGTCTGAGCAACGGCTCAGAGCTCTCCAGCAAATAAAGCTGACATGCTTCTCACTTCACAGAAGGAGCCGCTTGTTGTTCTGCGTGAACAAGCTCAAGCAAGTCTATCCGCAGATACAAAATAACCAATATTCAACTCTAAGTAGAACGATTGCATAAATAATTACTTCCAGTTTCTGCACTGGGACTGCACAGGAAATTAAAAGGATAAGCAATCCTTTTTGTATATTACAGAACCGTAAGACAAAGGATAAGCAAGATTTCCAATGTCCCCTTTTTTGGAGGGCATGATGAATATACTCCAGCTCCTGCCAGCCAGCTAGCCACACTTGGGCCTCCTTTCTTCCAATTTCAGCTGCATATTCTGATAAGAAACATGATCTATGATAATGGTAAAAGCATAGAAACTAGCTACAATGACCCACAATGTTCTATATAAACAGTGACCCTCTGGCTTCACAGTATTTCTCTTTTCTTTTTTCCTTCCTTTCTTTTTGGCATCTTTTCCTTTTAAATTAAACTAGGCATGTTTAAATTGTATCAAATCAACTTTTCTACTCTTATAAAGATTATGTTATAGATAAATTGACAATGGTCAAGGAATTGTCACATTTCAGTTGAAACACTCTACCAAGTTGCAGGCATGTTAAGGCCCCGTGAATACAGGACTGCTTGCAAGGCAATAAAGAGAGTGATTTCAGAAATATTTTAATTGCTCTCAGCTAATCACGAGCTGGCTTGTTTGCCAAGCCAAAAACATTCAGAATGTTGTAGAGCAAGATCACATGGTAGTGCTCAGTAAAGAGAGCATAACAGAATCTTCAGATGTATACTTGTCATTCTCCAACAGTCAAACTTCACAGAACGAGGAGTGTGCTGCAATGGCCAGGAGGAGATATCAAACTAGGAGTAGGAAGACCTTGGGGATTCACATCTTGAGTCAGTCAAGAAGTTAACTGGAATTTTTCTGGATCTTTAGAAGCTCAAGAGGGATAGATGGTCAAGGACAGAAACAGGGAGGAACTCCCAGTAAGAAACCTGATAACACTGTCAACATTTGGAACCAGAATGAAACCGTTCATGAGCCTTTACATTCAGCAATCTTGATTAGCAAGATCTTTCCAGGATTTCAGACATGAATCTTTTTCCCAGCCCTACCTGAAGATATTAGGTTTTTAACTTCTGCATACAAAGCATGATGTCTAATATAAAGCTACAGGCCATCCAAAACCTTGGAAGAATAATTCCCTGCCAGCTGATCCTAGCTCACAGATATGTTGTAAAGAAAGCACACTCTGTTTAGCTCATTTGAGGAACGGCAGGATATAGTAAAATGAATGCATTGTATCATAGTACATGGTTTCCTACATTTCTGATCACTGAGGTATACTCTTTTTTCAGGTCAGGAACACTATGTTTTTAAAATTAAATTTGGAGACATACACTACTTAAAGTAAAATAGAACTTCACAATTAAGAATTTGGTAGGTTAAGACTTACTCTTGCCTTCTGGAATGTAGCATTAAAGAGACATTTGTAACATAAACCTTCTTCCTATAGGAAAGAGAAACAACCTGCAGCTCTGTACAAGTATGCTATTATTTATGATAGAGATAAATACAAAAATATATAACACTTCGATGAACACAGGAATTCTTGCAACAACATTAATTATTAAGTTCTTATACATAAAACTGACTTATGATGCATACCAATTGGTGTTTAATACTTATCTTATAATTAAGAAAACTGAGTTTTTCAATATTTTGTGCAGATAGACAAGTAAATATTGAATTCAGCACACATGAAATGTGAAGATTAACAGAATCAACAGGCTGTTGACAATTCATTCAATTGAACAAAATGAAAAGCAAGTTGAACTGACCTCTCTAGGACAAATTATCCTCTTGGGACGGGGTGCTTCCTGTTGTAATTGATACACTGCCAAACAAAAATGCAATAATCATTAAAAGGCTATAACAAACATTAACATTTATATATGTGTATACATATATCTATATGTTTAAGAAAAATGCTTCAACCCAAATTCAGTCAAAGGAAAAACAGTGGATTATACAGTAACATGTTTAGACTTCATACACAAAAATAAGAGTGAGTGGCATAAATAGTTTTTTGCTCCTGAAGTGAAAGTCTAGTTCTCGCTAAATGACATATCTGCCTCCACAGTAAAAGATAATTTCCTTGTCCATTTTTTCTCTCACTATTACTCTCTGGTATGCTATCAGCTATCTGCTTGCTTGCTTTTGTTTCTTTCAAATGTTTTATATAATTGTATGTTTAAAAATGGAAATAGTTAACCTGATTAAACAAAACCCTAAAAAACTGCTCTTGTGAGAGGGGGTTCCTGATTTCACAACTACCTAGCCAAGCAGCTCCTGAATAGCTCCTTTTGCATCAATCTGGCGGAACTTGCTTCTGTGAGCTTGTTCTTCAACAGAAGATTTTTCATGTAATTAAGAAGGTGAGTGATCCTTTCAGTGTTGAGTAGCTACTCTTTTTATGGATGTCTAAATGCATTTTTAGAATGCATATTTGTCATAGTTTGCATGCAAACTTGTTAGCGAATTGTAAAACATAATATTAGAAGTGACCATATAAGCAATCAAATCCAACCTCCTGTTCAGGGCATATATATAATTAAAAGCATTCCAGAAAGATGGATGTCCACTCTCTTCAGCAATGGCAAGTCTACCACCTTCCTAGGCAGTTGGTCCCATTGCTTTGTGCTGCTCTAACCACTACACGGTTTTTGTTGTTCAGCTTAAATTTGCCGTCCTGACTCATGCCCCTTGTTTTGTGTCTTGAATGACAGAGAAAATATTACAGACCTCTTTTGTGTGACCAAACTTTAAGTAACTTTAAGTATACTGTAATATTTCTCAAAATTAATCTTAAAGCAATAATACTAAAATATATGTTACACGAACATAAAATACATCTTATTCCATTCTTTCGGTTTAGTGTCATCAGTATTATATCTCCTAGCAAACATATAAATAAAGAAAGGATATTGGTGAGGGTAGGTAGATTATAATATATATGTATATATACTATAAGATTATTAATATTTTTATAATCCTGTATTTTAATCCTTGCATCCTAATTTCAATTTCCAGCTTCATTTCTCTCACTTTCCCAGAACTATTTACAGCTGCTCTGCTAACGATCTTATGTCAGTAAGTGAGCCAGTCAATAATAATGCAAGTAAATGAAATACATTATAAAATTACTTTAGTCAGCAAAGATTTTTAAGCAGTATGGAAGAACTGGGTCTTCCAGGAATATGTAAGTATGAAAAGCAGTTGTTATTTTTGTAGCCCAGACAAGCTTTGGATTTATTTCAAATGTGAGCATTTCAAAGACAGCCACTATGTGTGCCTATTAGCATATTTTAGACAAGTAAGAATTGACCTAAACTTTCACATATTTAGGAATGAATCACAGTGACAGAAAATAATTAATACTTAGTCCTTGTCTGCTACTTTTCTTAAATTATCTGAGCACTTCCCCTATACTGTATTTGGGAATCTTACAGCCTAATAAATCAGAAACAATTGCTTAACAAAATCCAGTGCCTTAATGATTTGGAAAATTCCTTAACTACAGACGTCATGTGCATGATCATATTTTTGCTAGTGGGCAGTACAGAAATATAATAATAGCAATACTAAGAATAAACATAGCAAACATCAAACAAGAGATATTTTCAGTTTTCTTGTTCTTGCAGACCTTATCCATCAACTGTTCATTGGTACCTGAGCATGAGCAGTAGCTCTCCTCTCCTCTAGTCTTTATATTAGCAATTTTGCAACCTCAAACTGAGCCCTCTCTGTTGTCACGATGGAAAAAGGGTTTTCTCAGTGGCTTTGCAAAAAGCTAGATTAAGGCACAGTGTACTACCGGGCATTGTTCATTTTGCTTTTCTATGAGTTGCAATATTAAATACCACACAACAAGGGATTCTCATTCATTTACATGGATCTCTGGTCTCCTTGAAGAGGAGTCTGGGTCCTCCTGTAGGCTTCCCTAAAACCTTCATTAAGTCCATCCAACCATGAGATAGCCACCCATAGTTTGAAGTAGCCTTTTCAGCCTTCTGTTAACAAAACTATTAAGCCTTTCAATATCAAATTCATAGGAAGTGAGAGGCGGGGGTCAAATTTTTGTGTCTGAGAGCTATACAGAATCATTTTACCAAAGCTGCCCAAGTACAGTGCTTGGGTGGGTAAGTACTTGTGAAGTAATATATTGCAGGACTGATCCAGTGTTTACTACTTTTTGCTAGTTCTCTCTAGCATGTTATACATATTAGTTTGGCCCATGGGAACTGGGAGGGTGTAGCTTAGGGTGCTGTGAGCCAAGGTTCCTCCTTCAAACAATCACCAGCCACAGATCATTCTCCTTGCAACTTTCTTTATTCAGCCTAAGTACAAATCACTCAAAATGGTTCTTTAAGCATACACAGAACAGTTTGTTGAACCCAATCTAGGCTTTACCTCCAGAACTCTTCCAGAACATGCCTGGGCCCCATCCCTGGGAGGGGGGCTCTCTGAAGGTGAGCATGCACTGCTTATTTAGTTGGGCCTCCCATCTCTGCTGCTACAGAATCAATAGCAAGGTGAGCCTAGTCTGCATCTGAGAATTCCTCATCCTTGGAGACAGCCAGCAGTCTATAGGCATATTTGCCCAAGACCACCCGACAGAGTGCTCGCTTGAAAAATACTGGATATTTAAGTCTTTTTGCTTCAGCCATTGCACTTTCTATGACTTTGGCTCCAGTAGGAAACATAAAGATCCTAAAATGTAGTTGGCAACTTTCTAGCTTCTATGCCTATCCTTCAGAAATTCTGTAGATTTCTTGCATAGGTATATCTCTGTGACATATGATATTTTTATACAAATTGTGTACAATTACATCCCCCCCATGAAAGTCAATAAAAGGCAGCAAATCATTTTCCCACCTAAAGCAATCAGAATATTCTCCTCCACCTAAAATGCCACACCTATCTGAAATGTTTCAGATTTCTTGAATATCCACTTATTTATACTGTGTGCCATTTTTGTAACATTTCTCCAGAAAAAAAGATAGAGGGTAAGTACATCCTTTTTTGGAATTCCCCAAAACTGTAAATGCCACTTTTGCATAACAGAACAAATAACCCTGCATCTATCCATTTGAAACTTGGAAGGCTTGATCTCAGTTCATCCAGCTATGTCAAGAAATGGCAAGACTGCCAGCAGTTCCCTTCATAAAATATGTATTAAAATTAAAAACTATGTAGTACAAAGAAATGTGTGCACCTATCTGTCCAGCATTTGGCAGGCAGAATCCACTCACAAGGGGCTATTATGCCTATCCTTTGTTGAGTTCCACTACTAGTTGGTAAATTTTAATAATAGTGCATGAAGATTTGGATTTCTGAATAGGGTTTCATACTTGAATCTAAGCAACTTCTGAACTTCTGAATAGGTTCAAGCTTAACTAGATTTTTTTTTCCAAATCATTGAAGCAGGGTCAATTCGTATCTTGTGGTCAGTGCTAATCCCTACTAAACACAGCAAATTGACAGCACCTTCTGCTGACAAGTTCCCACAGTAGCACAAAATTGGATCTGGCTGCCACATCTGGTGCTTTACAACCAAAAACTTGTCAGCTTTCAATCCCAAACATTCATTTATAATGTCACTGCACAGGTAAATAAGTTCCAAAAAGCATGGTGGCCAAACTAAGGGCAAAAGTTAAAAAGGACGCAGGACTGCAGATGCAAATGACAAAAGCATTTTGAGGTTAGAGGAAAATTCACTGCTCTTATAAGAAAAATCAGGTTAGATCAGATCAAAGATCCATCTATTCCCATTCACTTCCAGTTTCTTCATTTTAAATGCTTCAAGTATAAGCTGCTTTCTTCAGCATTAAAGAAATGGTTGATGTCTTATTCATGTTCCCAGAAACAAAAGCACAATCAAATCAATCAGTTTTGTCTTGAATAAATGGCTAGAAACTAGAAGAAAAAAGCAACATTTGAACTTATTAAGTCACAGCAGATTTAGCCTTCCAAAAATGAAAACAGTATAATGAGGTAGGCTCAGGAAATGTATGTTCTTAACATCTCAGTGGCACCATTTATAAGAGTAAGCAAATTTCTACCATGCAATCTCTTAATCAATAAAGTTTAAATGTTGGATGAAACAATAAAAAAGCCTTTAAAGTCTGTTTTGAGAATTATCTTAGGATTTGTACTTAGGGTCAGTATCTTTTTTCTGCCTGCACACTTGGATCTTTGATTTTGTACCGTACCATGTGCCAATCGATGTGTTTCTAATCATTCTGTTTCTGTGTTCCCAACTTCTGTGCTGAGTACTAAACATACATTTAATAGAAGTGGTCACCCTACCTGTTTTAGAGGCTGGAAACTTGCAACCTTATTTGAACAGACACTTCTGAGCAACATGGGGCTTGTAACTTGAACATTTTGTATCTTTATTTGATTTCTGCCCTACCGGCCAGAGTTCATTTTATCAGTGCTCATTTCATCTCTTCTAGGCCTTCCAAATCATGCAGGGTGGCCTTCTGGTGTCTGGGGAGATTCCCCCTCCCAAGTTAAGTCTCTAGCCCTTCCACCCCCACAAAGCCAAATGCCTTATACTCACAGTATGATTTCCATATTGGGGGTTGATATTCTTCAGCATCTAGAACAGAATAGGAATAAAAGAGAATCAATCAACCAGCAGCTCTGTAAACCCATCAAGATGAATCTTCTATAAAGACTTCAAAGCTTGCCAAGAAAAATGTGATTGCCTTTCCAGGAGAATGACATGATAATTTATAAGACAGTGATCCACATGACAGATGTTTCCTGGTGTTGCAGGTTTTTTATTTAAAAAAAAAATATTTTTTTGCGGTTTGATGAATTTACATGCACACACATCTATTAATGAATAATTAAACAGGGTGTTCACAGGATACAAAACTTGCAGGCTGTAAGTAGCATCCTCCAACAGAGCCTTGTTTGAAGTTTCTCAAACCCCAGGATCTGCCACTAATAAGTGAAAGATCAGAGAAGAAAAGCACTCTAGAAACAGATTCTGTGATTCCTGCCATAGAAGCCTCACTGGAGTGCCCTACAAAACAGAGCTTGAAGGCTCCTGACACCTTCATAGGACTCTCTGGTGATGATTAGTTCATTCATTCATATTTATATCCTGCCTTTCTTCCTTACAAAGAATTCAAGGAGACTCACATAATTCTTCCCCTCCTTTCAATCCTATTCTCTCAAGATCAACCCCGCGAGGAACATTGCACTGAGAGTCTGCGATTGGCCCAAAGTCACCCTGTCAGCTCCATGGCAGAATGGAGACTCTCTTCTGTTGCCTCGTAGATGCCACAACAAGCCCCAGTCCTACAGAATATGTGGAATAGCCCAAAGAGTCATGTCACAGGGATATTTTGTCTCAGGCCCTGGAAAATCCATTTGACTCACCCTGAACCCCAGCTTATTTGCATGCTCTCCTTCCCCATCTCACAGTTCTCCATAACAAAGGTGGTAGTACCACTGAGAGGCTCAGAGTTGCCATCAGATTGCCTGCTAGACCACCAGAAAGCTATTTGTCCGGGTTCTATTCAAAACTAAGGGGAGAAATTACCTAAGTACATACACTGAGGGACCAGACCCAACAGCAGCCACTGAAGAAGGAAGATAGGTAGCTGATGGTCTGTTTATATACCAGTCTTCTTCCAGACTTTTGCTGGGTTAAGAGCTCCCTTTGAGCACCAACTCATAGACATTATTCTTCAACTTAATACAATATAGGGTTTTCTTTTTTCATTTTTGTGTACGATTTGGCAGGCATCACAAGTAAGTGCTGACAATCAAATATATCAAAAGCACAAAAGGAAGCCATTTAAGAATGTAAAAGTGTATGTCATTCCAAGTTTGCTCCAGAGTAATTCCACTGAGCTCAATTTTCTAAAGTGGCTGAAATCCAGAAAAATGTGTACATAGAAGCCTCACTGTGATTCAGACCAGCTAGTAATGACAACATTAGGGATGCTATTATAGAAAGCTAAGCCAAGCAACAATCTAAACTAACTGATTCTGGTATAAATGGTTACACTTTCAATTCTAGGTTTACTATAAAGTGGCACTACTGAATACAGTGTGTCTTGCTTTGGTGGGACAGAAAAACTCCATAGCATTAACCTTGCAATAACCTAACTGTAGTCAGTGAGTATGGCTAGGGGGAAGCCTTACATTGAAAGAATTCCACCAGCACTTGGGATAAAACTGTCCACAGACTGTGCCATGACACGGCAGGAGTGGAATTTCAAATGGAATTCTATACTAATTCAGGGATAGGTTCTGCCCCAGAAACAGCACAACATACCTGCAAAAGAAACAGCATAATTTATAACACTTTCATTGGAATACTCCTCTGCCCAGGTCCTCAAAAAGCTGGGTCTAGCCAGGTAAGATATAAAGCTTCTTCATGCTTCTTCCCATGTATGAACTGCCTAGAAATTACAAGCGGGAAATCTGGAGTATGAGCACACACAAAAAACAACAACCACCCAGGGAGAACAAAAATAAATTAGAGACAGACAGAGGCCCTATATTTGTATTGGTGCCTTCTAGCAGGATACCTATAATATTTATAAATACCCATGAGAATATTTATTATGGGACTGCAAGTACAAAGCACTCCACATATTTCTTTTAAGAAACAGGGCAAGAGACGTGCTTCAAAGTATGCACTGTTTACCTCTTCCATGTATTCCCCTTAAGTCCACAATGACAATTGTATATTGACCAAGAATGCCCAAACCTTGTAATATGGGAAAATATGGGAGTGCAGGACCTCCCCAATATACAATAGGTGGTTATGGCATTTCACACATAGGCATAGTATAAGTATGAAGGTTGTGATAAGGGGAGAGGGTAAGTATGCTCCTACCTAGTGAAGACAATGGGAAACATATGCATTTTGTTGGTGAATGCCCAACACTTCATTGCATCTGTTGATATTTATTTATTTATTTATTTATTTATTTTTCGATTTCTATCCTGCCTTTTTCCTACAAAGGGCTCAAGGCAGCTTACATCTCCTCCTCCATCTTATCCCCACAACAACAACCCTGTGAGGTAGGTTGGGCTGAGAGTCTGTGACTGGCCCAAAGTCACCCAGTTGGCTCCATGGCTGAGCGGGGACTAGAACCCAGATCATCTGAGTCCCAGTCCCACGCTCTTAACCACTACACCACACTGGCTCTCATATTGATGGCCAAATACTGATCGTACATTTTTCCCCAGACAATATGCCAAAGAAGCTACCTATAATGCATAAGTCAGTGATGCCTCAATAACACTGTCCCACATTTCTCCATTTCTGTCCAAAACACACCCACTGAGGGAATGACAACAGAGCAGTGGAAAGTTAGCTCTGGCATGTGGAACAGAAGACTAAGTCAAAGCACCTGCACTTATTACTCACTCAGAAAACATTAATGAGCACCTAGCAACCTTGCTGAGTAACAGCAGCTATTTACTTCTGCTGTGTGACTTCACAGCCTGTTTCTGCAATGTACATACCATTAAAGTAATACACAAAGTAATCAGGTGGATGATATTACTAATCCACAAAACCATACCAGTTAATTAAAGTAATCTGATAATTTCTCCTACATTACTTAAGAGAATTAAAAGTCAAGTATATTTCCTGAACTCACACATATTCATATGCATGATAGATGCGTACATACACGGTCTATTTTAATAAAATATTAGTGATTAACTGAAGTATGCTTTTAAAAATTAGACTATGTACTTGAAGCAATAAACATTATCAGTATGCAGAGATGTTTGTTATCCATTCCACTACACAATCCGCTAACCACTTATTCTGAAACCTATCACTGCTCTGGTTTAGGACTTCTAAGTTTCGTATGTTTTACATAATGCAGTTTTCCTAATACATGAAGCTATCATTAATTGCAAAATGGGTAAACTTGAAATAACAGCACAGTTAACCCTATTTCACTAATGATTGCAAATGCGAAACATTGTAAATATAATTACAACAATCACCAGATTATTATGTTTGTCATTATGACTTCTAAGATGAAGCTTAATCTCTTTTTTGTATCCACCCTGAATGCAAGGATTGAAGGCCTGAATTTACTTTTTTTCCCTCTTCTAGGAGTATGGCATTAGGTGTATATTAAATTATCTGATTAACATCTTCCTTGGTCATAGTAATTAGATAATCCTAGATAATATAAAGATGAATGCACTGACATGTTAGATGAGAAAGAGTTGATTTTCACTATAGTTTTACTGCATGAGCTGCACCTGCAATCTAATTTCAGGAAATAAGCCAAGTATAATGTTATTATGTGATTTAAGGATATATTATTTAGAATCTAGTGATCATTAAATGCTAGACAAAATAGTATTAACATTTCAAATCAATATCAAAGTGAGCATATATGTGGCTAAAAAGGTTGACTTGATGAGAAAATGCCTAGAAGCGTTTCATCTAGATTTCTGTGATGCTGTAAATATCCAGACAAGGAGAAAACTGTATTTGTGGAAGAGTTTTTTGAAATCCCTTTTGCTTTTAAAGTATGGTTGATGTCTTCAGCAAACTTAGGCCCCTCACTGCTAACTCCTAATTCCTTATGAACTAGTAAAAGGGACTGGTCCCTATACAGATCCATGGGAGACCATACAGCTTATGCTCCTGCACTGCAAGAACTCAGTATTTGTATGTAATTCCTCTTTTCGGTTCTTTAATCAATTACCTAACAATGGGCTTTTTCATTTATCCCAGGACTCCTGTGATTGCACAGGAGTCTTTGGTGAGATACTCGTCTAAAGACTTTTCAAAGTCTTAGTAAATAATGCTGTCCTTCAGGACTCTGCCATTTGCCACCTCACCTCAGGCGTGGCCACTGATGTCAAAGAACAGACACTTATCTGTGCTGTTTGCAGTAGGAGGTAGTGGCACTATCTCAGCAGGATTGCTGAAATCTGATGGCTTAGACCTATTCCATAGAAATTTGTTCTGAGAAACAATGCAGAAGATTAGGCTGCAAGTGTATACAAATCAAGTAGACACGGGAATGGTATTTCCTAGTGGTACATAAATGATACGTGCAAAAACAAAAAAATCACTAGAAATATTAATTAATGGATATAAGCGATTGTTGCTGTTGCATAAGATTGGATCCGCACTTAGTCATACTTAAGAGTACATCCACTGAAATGAATAGGATTTGTGTTAGTAGACAGGACTACCTGAAATCCCACTGATTTCAACAGGTCTGCTCAACCCAACCCAACACTGTTCACTAGTTAATATTGGCTTATGCCTCATTGGCACACACCCACCATGCATCTCTGACTATTTGAAGACTCATGTCTTGCCTTTATGATATTTATGTAAACACCATTATATGATCAGATCTAATATGTGTACATGGGGGAGGGAATGCAGATGGATGCAGAGAAGGTATTAGAAACAAAAAAGTACAAAAATGTCTACTTATTTTAGAACCACTTCAAAATGTGTTGCATGAGTAAACAATAGCATTTGTTTTAAGACGTAATTATATTCCTAACAATTAAATCATAACTCAGCTGTTTGCTTTATACTGTGTACTGAACCACTCACCAATTACTGATGTTTACTAT